ACACGATACAACGGCGGCTACACAAGGTCAACGCGTTCTTCGCGAGTCCGGGCCGGAAACCATCGCCCGAAAAGACGAAATACGTGGAGTTCGGCCCGGGCTGAAAATGAGCCCGGAAAAAACTCACGGTCAACGGTACGCACATCCAGAAGACAGAGGAACACGCTGTCCTGGGAGTATTCCCAAACTCCTACCTCGACCGCACGATGTGGATAGGAAGAATGCGCGACACCTGGAAACAGGGACTGTACATAGCGAGAAGAATGGCCACACGTGCCGGCGGCGTCGGAGAACGGGTGGCCGAGACAATCGTTCAAGCCGCCCTATTGTCGAAGGTGGTGTACGGAGTGCGCATTTATGAGCTCAGAAATCACCAGAAAACCGCGCTGTAAACCCTATTCAACGAGACGAGAAGATGTATATCGAGACTTTCCAAGTGCGCGAAAGTCGAAGATCTGCCCAAGACGGTGCCGATGCCCTCTATAAATGACATTGCGAGGCAGCACGAATATAGCTTTTGACTCAAACGCATGCACACCCCTTAGGGCAGGGCGATCGCAGAACTTGTTAGAAATAAGGCGGACGAAACGGCGCCGCTACTACCCCAGATACCTCCGTGGGACCGGATCACGATGACCCCAAATCGCCCCATTCCGCGCAGGACGAACGCAGCCCGCAACCCCAAGAGGAGAGCGAAGTGTGCAAAGAGACACGACAAAGAAACGGAAACCCCTGCCGGTGGGACGAGGATCTACTACACGGACGCGGCATGCGCGGAAGACAATGGCAAAATCCGAGCGGCGACAGCCTGGAACTCTCCAAGCACGGGAATTGCGGAAGTCAAACTTCTTGGCGGCAAGAAGATATCGAACACGTAAAAGACGGAAGCGGTGGCACCGTTGGAGGCCACGAAAGACGCGGATCCAGGCGCAGAGAACCACTCAACCTTGAGAATATTCGCAGACTCGCAGAACGTGGTAGGAGCGTGCAGAACTCAGCACGAAACTAACCACACCATCAGGAAGATCTTTTGACTTGCCGCCAGACTTGTCAGGACCAAGAACGTAAAGATCTCTACAGAATGGATCCCGGGCCACGCAGGAATCGCCAGGAACGAGGCAGCCTACCGATCTTTCACCGGGGAGCTATCGCGTTCCATCCCTCAATGAATCAAAGGCATCGACGACAACCTTGGACACGGCGGCGCAAGCTACGACCCGGAAGGAACCTTCGAAAGGGGCAAGACCTCGGTGAGGAAGGAGGCCCGTAGGAAGCTCAACGAAACGGCAGATCCACCCGAGGTATGCATACCGCTCAACGGAGGTTTCCGAAGGCTTCCGACTCTAAGACTGCGATGGCTACGAGCAGGAGCGACAGTAACACCCGCGCGTCTAAAAAGATGGGACGACGCCAAACATCTCAGCATTAACCCGAAGAACTCCCAGCAAGAGCCGGACTCGTGTCCTTACTGCGAGGCAGACATGGCTGCCGACGAAGAAAACCTCCTCTTGGAATGTACTACTTTTTCAGAAGAGCGATCTGCGACCCTCGACGCGCTCGAACCGCAGTGCAGGGCTCCCACACGCGATGCCTGGTTCCGACCGGTGGGGCTGGGAAAGAGGGGAAAGGTGGTCCTGGCCAGCCTACTCTTTTTCCTAGGAGAGTCAGGCCTGGACATTCGTACAAAGACTCGTGCTCTATCCACATATTCATCGTCTCCCACTCCTTCCCCACCACCACTCCCTAGACCCGACCATAACCAGACTTGTGCTCGTTACTTGAAAAATCTAATGGATTACAATTACGAATTACCCAGCCTTGAATATATAGGATTACCGTTACAAATTGGTTTCGTTGAGAAGTAACGGACTACTTTACTCGTTACGCGACAAATTACTTTCATGTTACTTTTTTCCGTACACTTATCCAGAAAACAATAAAACAATTTTGATATTTTTCAAAAATGTTCTGCTACTATTACTTTTCATTTCTCATACGCAAGTATTATGATAGTCCTTGCAACAATAAAATTTTGTATTTAAGAGAGAGAGTGTAGGTGCGCTCCGTTCATTTCTAAGCTGACAAGGCACCGAGAGCTGCTACCACACCTGCCATCACGCGAGCTTGCGGCCACCGGAAATGATACCTGGAATAGTGCAGACGAACCTAACGGTGCGCATGCTCAGTAGCAGCGTCTTCCTCCGCTACTAGATTCCGAGCTAAAGAAGAGATCTACGGAATCTCCCTTTTCACAGTATGCAAGATGACCATTCTGAATTCACTGTTGCTAGCAGCGTACAAGCCATGTTAGTTGCTGCCTTAAAAAGAGGAATCCAACCCTGGCTTGGTGGTGTTGTTCTTGGTGGTGGTGGATGGTACCTCTTCTAAGAGCGTTCGTGGTTGGCACCTCTAGACACTGTGGCCTCAGCAGCGGTTTCTTGTGGTCTTTCGTCTGAATTCTGCCCATTGTTGGTAATGCCTGCTCTTGGCTTGCCTTTTCCCCGTCCCTTTGATATAGAAGCGCATGTGTGTTGGTTCTGTACCTGCTTCCCGGCTCCCCCGGCCACAAACATCGGCGGAATGGAGGAAACTAATCTAGAGAGACCATCCGTCCCGCGACTCGCGGGATTGTCCCGTATTGAGGGCTCGTGTCCCGCGTCCCGCAAGAGAAACCAAAATCTTCAAAATGTCCCGCATTTCACATTGTCGTAACATTCACTACGCAAATTATGGCGCTTCCGAACAACGGGCCACGGGGAAGCGCGGAGGTCGCTGATAAACGTGTGAATCTCGATGGTATGCTATTTTCTATCCAACCACTGCGGGAAGCGAACGTAGTCCTTGCAGGAGACAGACGCGCATGCGCCGTTGTACCACTCCCCTTGACGGCAAAATGTTGCAAGCAAAAATTGTTTGCCAAAAGTTGAAAAATAATCTATTGTAATTATTTGCAAATCTTAATTTATCATGCGAAAAGGTTGTTGTGGAAAGTATTTTTTAGTGAAGACGGCCACATAAGACAAAGAACCTGTTACTCACAACGGCCGAAAAACAACGTAACTTTCTAATTTTGTGTAGGGGCATGTTAGTATAAGAGTAAGTATCAGCAGGAAACAATAAGCCGAAAAAGATTTACTATTTCTTATTTCCTTTTGATGCATTGGGGTCTGGTGCAGTCTGTTTTTATGTTTTCAACTTAGACACTTTTAATAAAATATTTACCATTACATTAAAACAAAAATAAGTCACTCTTAGTGAAAATTATTTTATCTTAATTGCCGCACACAATTTTCAGGGGTATAATATATGCTTTCAGACAGCACAGAATAAATACCGTCCTCCTGTTCTGTGCAAATTTTCATTATAAACTGCAGTTGATTGATTTTTTTTTTTTTTTATCTTGAACGCGTTGGCCGGTGTCATGATTTGGGGGCAGCCATTTTCCGAAATACAGCGCCTGTCATCCTTTTTTATCTTACACGCGCACGCACGCTCACACACAATGGTTTTCACAGTTGAATCCTTACTATGGTCACTATTGCGCATGACCCACGCGAGAGGAACAAGCCTATTTCACAAGGGCGTCGCCACCCTGAAATACCGTCGCTTCCGTATTCTACGGTGATAGCGCAGAGAAGCAACCACACACCAGCTACTCAGAGAGACAAGCACACGCGCTGAACTTACAACTCTTGTGTATTCTGAGTTTCTTTCTGTCTTTCTTTCTGAGTATCTGGTGTGTGATTGTTTCTCTGGGCTGTTACTTTAGAATATGGTTCACCAACTCGCCCAAGTATCCATCTCATGACGTCACTTCCAGTATGGGCGAAAGCATTGTTTGGCCGTCGCCTCGCCCGAAGTATACATTTAGGTTGGAAGCGTAACTGTCAGCCATTCTCGTTTTGTCACCCCTCTATTTTATTTTTACTATTTGCAGGTTGAAATGTTTTATTATTTTTTAATCACGGATACCGGATATGCCTACCAGGTGGCTGGGGGCGAGAGTGTTTAAGAGTACGTTCAAGAAAATAGATTGGACCGTTGTATAGCGCGTGGTCTCGCGCACAGGGTTGCCCTAGCGATGCACGCAGAGGAACTAAAAGGCGGAACCGTATGAGTACTCTGGGCAAGAGTCACTAAATAAAGCTAGCTTATTTAGTGACTCTACTCTGGGCTAGAGTAGCTGCACATGCTAGCTATATACGCTAGACTACACTCTAAAAAATGCCTGCGCGTCTACTTACCCGCAAAACACTCAAAGAGCCAATCTGTGCGACCTAGGATATCCGCTCAGCGAATGACGAGGCGGAACATCTGTTTAGACATTAAAATGAAATCTGCGATGTGGCGTTACGCAATGCAAGCATGACGCTCTGCATTACGTAATGCCACAGCGCAGACTTAATTTGAGGTCCTAAGCAGATGTTCCGCCTTATCATTCGCTGAGCTGATTTCGTAGCTCACAGAGATTGACTTTTCGAGTATTTTGCGGGCAAGTAGACGCGCAGGCATTTCGTAGAGTCTAAGTGCATGTGCTAGCTATAGGCGAAAGTGTAACTGTATGCGCTAAATATAAAGGCTAGAGTAACTTCTATGCTCCTCAACCGGAGCATATGTTGTGGGTCTAGTGAGGCGACGGGATCCGCTGTTCCATTTTGTTTCTATGACAATTTTAAGCATACTTAAAATTACGACTATCTCAAGTTTGGAGGGTCAGTGTGAACAAATTTCAACTTTCGGGTCGGAAATCGTCATGGTAGTACATAATACCTGAACATGATTGTAAACCTGAGACTGGGGCAGAAAAGAGAACACAATAGAAGGTAAAAAAAGAGGAAGCAACGTTGCCTCCTCTTTTTATACCTTCTGTTGTGTTCTCTTTTTTTGCGCCCCAGTCTCAGGTTTACAATCATGTTCAACATACACCAGCTCGCCTGCACTCTGACTATTTTTTTTTAGTAATACCTGTATTTCTTTTCTCTCTCTCTCTCTTTCCAGACAGTTGATTCTCGTGCCTCCGCGTCGCTAGCTTTTCTGCGATCCTTCCCAGAATGGGTCTTGGCAGCCCGGCTTTCCTAGGACGCTCTCCACGCCCGAGGTAAGCAGTCGCTTGAGATTTCAAAAGCGGAGACTCTCATGGCCTGCATTTAAAGGGAGACTCCGGTTATCGTACGCGATTTACTCGGCAACGTCTCTGTCTAAAGTGGAAGTATAAACGTCCGTGTGAAGAAGGCATGCAAATGAGATTGTCATTCATTACGGTGCCCTAGCAACAAACAGGTGCGAATAATTAATCGAGTCTGCCAAATATTGTATTTTAATTAGAATACCTTTTTCGGTCTAGTAATCGTATACGGGTGTAGTTTCGTTGCATTTTCAATAAATTAGGATGACTTTGGTAGTTTATCTTAGTGGCCATTGGAGAGCTGTTCTCGCCATGATTAGAATTGGAAAACTCCGTACCATTCAAGAAATGCATTCTACCGCAGATTAACGAGCAAAGGAAGGAAGGAATAAAGGGCAGAAAGGAAGACAAAGAAGTTAACCTGCGGTATTTTGTCCCGGTTTGCTACTTTGTTTTGGGTTTGCTACTTTGTTTCACGCCAGTCTGGGGATTCTGGCGCCTTTCATGTTTATTATGCTTAGTCTAGTGCACTCGACATCTAAACTGAGCGATATAAAGAGTGATACTCCTAAGATAACGATACAAATTTGAAAGGCAACACTCGTATGTTAATTGGGCTTTCAATTGCTTTTGCTATAAACTAAGAAAGTTTTCTCTTGAAGGGCATTTTGAGCGGGAGCACCGCACTTCTTACGAACAGGGCCCTTGCGTCTACTTCCTTTAGAACACATATACAACCAATCACCGTGCTCCGTATAAAAACGCAGCGAAGGGGAGGTCGAGAACGCGATTCTCCGTAAAAATGCGATCCAAGCCGCTAACATTTTCGTGTGATCCGATATCTCTGTCCCGTAAACCTCTTCCATTTTTCTGCCGATCGTAGTGATTCGCTATTCCTGTGATCCGCGAGAAAGCAGACACTTGGGTAATGTTCATAAGCAAGGCTGCTATTATTCCAGCAAATAGGGCGTCAAAATAAATGTATGCTGCCAGTTGGAGAAACGTGTCGTCCTGTTTTCGTCCTCTATGTTAGTCTCCACAAACACCGTAACTTAACCAGCACGCTCCATTTCCACGAGGGTAATACCATGTGTAAAAATAGATATTTTTAACTAAGTATTAACAACTGTAAGCCAATGTAGATGTGACCTCTCATATTTTTTTTTTTTTTTATCATCCAAGGTTTTCTCGTTTTTCATTTGTCAATTCATACGTCCGTACTGCTGAATCTCTTTTGTCTAGTAGGCTTTTTTGTCGGGGACGAGGGGGGGGGGGAGGAGGAGGAGGAGGAGGAGGAGGAGGAGGAGGAGGAGGGGGGGGGAGGGGGGGGATTTTACTAGCTCCGGGCGTTTTTCTTTTTAAATAATTGTAGACGAACTTAGTCAGATACGCAACGGCTCAAAATATTAAATATTGTAGGTATTAGACAGATATATATGATGACATTTTGTTTGATGCAAAACAAGCAAATATATTAATTAAACTTTTGAAGTCAGTGGAGGGTGTTCATAATTAAAACTAGTAGAGCAATTTTGCCCGAATCGCATTACTCTAACTTTCAGGACAAAGAGGTTATGACAAAAAGTGATCGCAAAGTCCCGAGACCATCTTCTCACCCGAAGCAGGCTCATTTCAACAGGGCATGCCCCAGGCAGCCCTTACACTTTATAGCATAGTTGAGACGCTTGACGTGGTAAAACATGAACGCGGCACTATAAAAATAAATGTACGGGGACGAACAAAATGGGTCCATAAGGCAGCCCCAGTCCGTGCTTCTACAGAATTTATTTCTCATTGCCAGAATAAAGATAGGAGTGATGGGGTACGAAAATACGACCTGTTATACACAATGTACATTAGGTTTACAGTTTATTTTTTTAATTAAGTTTACAGCTTACGTAATTTAGATTTACAGCTTATTTTTTTATGGCGCCAACGTCTTCTCTTGTATCACGCCGTACGTTTTAATGTCTGCTTGAATGCAGGATCTGCTCATTCAAAGGGGCGATGCAACAATTTTTGTACTTTGCGCAAATGCCGCTTAAAACGGATCCCTGACGTTAATGGCCTATGAAACATGTGGTCGTTTTTCACCCCACGCAATAGAAGTTCCAGAAACAAATGAAAGAAAAACGAGCAGCGTTTACCCGCTCAACTCGCAGCCAGAAGAAGCGGCCACGTGATCTGGAGCCGATTATATGCCGCCAATGTTGATCATAGCCACACGCTGGCGTTGGCAAAGCACAGGACACGCGCTGAGTTCCAGACATTGTTATGGCTCGGCTATTGCCGTCGTTGCAGCGATTGGACACGGGCCACTACCCGAATGCATGTCGAGGCATCGATCGTCACGAGCCCAGATCGAATGCGTACGCAGTTTTCGCGTCCACTGAGTGAGCAGCATTTGAATATCGTCACCGCAAAGTTCGATGACGCATTCCCGGGGATCGTACTGTTCCCATTGTCCCCACAGCTCCGTCATCAAATTTCGCGAAGGAGCAAAAGGCGGCTTTGGAAGGAGAGACTGAAAGAACAGCTCCGCTTTCATCCTTTGAATTCCGCCGCGACGAAGACGCTTCTTGGTCAGTGGTGTTGCGTTCGAGTATTGTTGGGTCCCACTAGTGCCAGGAAGCTGGTGTAAAGTAAGAAATATCCCTACCCAATGTCGCTGCATAGTTCCTTTAAGCGGCAATTATTTTTTTTTCGACTTCTTCCTCGTTGGCTTTGATCCTCAACTGAAAAGCGAAGCGAGAAACCACGTGGTCGTAACGCTGTTGGGCCCCGGATGCGATGATTCCAAGCTTCCATTGTGCTTTTTAAGCGCTCTATGGAATTTGTCATTCGCAAGTGATGAAAGTGCTTTCACGGCATCATTGGCCTCGAGCTCGAATCCAGGTATTGGTCAACGGGTTGATTTTTGACGAGAGCGTAGGTCCGAGTGAAGTAGTAATTATCGTGTCTAATGCGTGAGCTGGGTTCAGCTGACGTGGTTGGGCTCCGCGGATGCACCGCAGTGAAAAGGCAGAGAGCTTTCGAAGTAGAAAAGATAAGGGACAGGATAACTGGGCTAGTAAGTATAGGTTCATCTTGAAAGAGCGCTGTTTCAAGATGTCCGGCCGCGTAACATTCGCGCTGTTTCAAGACGAAACGAGGTAAGGAATTGTCCGCTTTAACTTCAAACTTTCGTTACCGAAAAGCAGACTTTTGACTTTCCTCCCTCTTTTTTTTTTTAGCACTAAAGGATATCTGATTAATAATATCCCAATCTAAAAACATTTATTCCAGGCCAGAACTCATTTTATGGTTCTTTTAGAGGGAAACTGAAGCGGTTCTTTATTTAGGTGTAAAGCACTTCAATGTTCTTCATTTCGCCTCCAGGATCACGAATATCCAGATCACGTTTGTTTTTTTTCAGTTTGGGGCGCGGAGGCTGATGAAAATCATTTTCGAAGTATCGCTGAAGCCCCTCGTTCAGGGAGCATTACATTATAAAAAAACGTTCTCGGCATCTCCGCTCTCGGGCATCTCCAGCGCCTATCAAAGATATGCACGCGCACTCTTGCAATTTAAAAAAAAGGCTAAAAAAAAAGAAAGATGTCACAACTGTTGTCAGTGGCGTGCAATATACGCGGCAAGCTTGCAATTGCACGCGCTGCCGACACGAGCGACACTCGCTCGGCGGCCGAAAGATCCTTTCATGACGTAACGACTGGTCAGAGGTTTTCCGTGTTTTCTCGCGTTCGGTGACATCTTCGGGGAAAACGAACGTAATATTCAAATTCACGAGATAAAAAACGCTTTATAACTCACATCCAACTACATGATGCTTTCATGAACCTATTTTGCTTCCCTTTAAAGGGGAACACCTTCGATTTCTTCACGATCCCCTATTTTTCTAAAAATTCGCTATGCACAAAAACAAACTGCGCTGAAATGGTATCCTGAATATTAGGTCAATATATCTTTTTTCCGGAAAGTTCGTGAATTGAAAAGTGACGCCATTGGAAAGCAGGAGTGCACTCTTTGGACTGTAGAATTTGTTCCCGACTGATTCCAAGCAGTTTCATGATGTCAAATGAATTCTTCGGAAGCTCCCTCCATACCCACGCACCAGCACGAAACTAATGCTTGCCATAGTGTATTTTTTCACTGCCTGCTCGACTGGCAAGCCTGCCTTCCACTGACGTCACGGCACTGAAAAGGGTGCGTATATTTGATTCTTGGTTTTTTCACCCCATTCATTTGCCGATTTCACAATAACGTTTTTGAATTTCGCGATACTAAATAGAACACCGAAAAGGTTGAAGGCTGGGGATTGAGAAAATATAGTTCGTTGGGACAGCTCGACAAATCACCGGAGTACCCTTTTAAGCTAAACGACATTTAAAGAAACATACATAAGAAAAATAATGTCGACTGCAAGTTAGGAGATGTTTTGTTTGACCCTCTGTCCCCAGAACTGCTTTCAACCAATCCATCACTAAATGAGTTCATCGATCAAACGAATATATATATATATATATATATATATAAATATAGATATATACACATAAATATATATATATATATATATATATATATATATTACATTTGAATTTAAAAATAACAGCCGTGAAATCTTCAGTAACAGCTAGGTATTTACTTTATACAGTGTTGATATTTTTCAAGTGCCTATTCCTTTAGTGACATGGTCTTTCGTTCGGTGTGTTCGCTGGTGAATGGCTCCGCCAAACGCAAAACTTGGCTGTCTCGCACTTTGATTATTTGCTTACAACGTATTCTTGCAAGGAGAAACTAAAAAGTAATCACGTGGAGTAATTTGTGATTCGTGTCGGTTGACCGGCATTGCTCGAGATAAAAAAATAGAGTATGTAGTGCGTACCTTATTTCATAATACAAGCTGGAGCTTTTTGCCCACTAATGTTTACATATCTACACCTGCACTTCTCTAGAGGATTTTAATTCTCAGAGAC